AAATGGTGGAAGGCGAAGCACAACAGCAAAAAGGCGTATAGGTTAAATAAAAAGAGGAGGATGAGTGAGCTGTTAGGCGGAACCAACAAAAGGATCGCAGGAAGGTACTTTCAATTGAAGATAGGCCACGCCTTGATCGGCCCCTACCTAGAACGCATCGGAAAGAAAGACACCTCGGAATGTTGGTGGTGCGGACATACGAAGCAAACTACGGACCATTTATTCAAATGGTGCAAAAAATGGAAAGCACAGCAGGATACCTTGTGGAAGGAGTTGAAGAAAGAGGTGAAGTGGAAGGACAGATACAAGGTACCGATGTCGCAGGTCTTCTCGGAAGAAAAAGCGGAAGAAGCGGTTATCCAATTTTTGAAAGATACCGATGTAGGCAGAATTACGGAGGCATAGGAGGGGACGGGTTGTAAGGGCAGAGGAGGGTGGAAATTTAGATTGGTGTTTAGTGTGCCGGCGGTTATGGGAACAAGGAGATCAGGAAGGTACGACTTTGCTTGGGGAAACTGATAGGGACACCTAATAGTTAAACTGGGATGTACCGGGGAAAAAGGATTAGTTAGTTGTCATGGCCCCTACGGGGCCGAATACAATATGATTCAAACAAAAAACAAAAAAAACGCCAAAAGCTGGGAAGTCGTAGCAGCAACTGCAGCGTACGTATGACTATTAGATACTTGCTCACCGGAGCCTCTGAAGAATTGAATGCTAATTTGTGCGATGTAATCGGACAGCTATGCGGCGGTTTTGGTATCGTTCATGCACTGATCTGAATAACCTGAGCACACACAAACTATGGGCTGGCGGCATAAATTTGTTGCATGTAAAACGGATCAATGTTGGGAATTGGTCCCAGTGTAACTGGGAGGGTGGATGGGCCTGCAATCAAACTGAAGGGACCGCGAAGATAGTTAAAAGTGATTTCTCGTTTCTAAATACATTCGTGTAACTTCTCACTTGTACTAGACACAATCCGTCGGGTCGGGGCTTCGAAATTTCTGGAACATCTTATGTACTGCGATGAGGTGCTATCCTAGCGCTAGCCGCCAGCTAGTCACCCCATGGTAGAAGAGAAATAAGTTACAGTTGTAGGAAATGTGGCTTGTTTCAACGTTTTCTATCCGTCTTAAAAGTGCCATAAATTCTGTCTACCATCAAAATACATAGCGAGTACCATTCAAAAACGAACCAAAACGGTTTTAAAATCGATAGCACTTTAACACGGGCAGAGCACGTTTATAAAAACCCCCCTTTTCTCAATAGGATACCGGGCGGGTACAAACTCACCCTCGATCTTCCGCACGCTTATGACAATGATCCACCACAACCACCTCTAACTCGTGTCTACTCTAGGCATTTAGCAAATCTGCATAAACTGCACACACGCGTCCGTCACCAGGGTTCCGAGACTACACACAAGCGCAAAGTAATAGCCCTTTCACAGCTTAGCTCCCAGTATGCCCGTTGCTTCTCAAATGACCATGAAAACACGTAGACTACATACAGTACGACTCTTCGGTGATCATGACAGAGACTACGAATACCTATACTTCACACCAACCGGAATTTATCACCCGTTGCTATGCGGACATACCTCTTGTCTCACTCACCGCTCTAAAAGGAGAGGCCTCCCACAAAAATAAATCCCTCCGACCGGAGTCGAACCGGTGACCAACGGATAACAACTTGACAGTACAGTCCGGTGTGATACCAACTACACCACAGAGGGTTGACATGTAACTTTTTCGCTGTAACTGAATATATCCTGTAATAAATCAAAGTTCTCATTTAACCGTCACCCCAACACCAATCCCTCAATCCACCCCACCTCATTCTTCAACCCCTCAACGAAATCCTCAATCCACTCCTTCTCCGCCTGAACTGGTGTTGCCTCCTTGGCCAGTTTATAAATTCTACAAATCTCCGTATCCACCCCCACTGCCTCCAACAAGATTAGTTTCAATAACTCCTCCCCATCGTCTTGGCTAAACGCATCAAGACTCTTTGCAATCGTCGCGCGTTGTCGATGTAATTCAAGCAATGGCTGCTGAAGAGTCTGTTTGGCAGCCTCGGGCAAATTGTAGGAGACGGGAAGGGGCAAAAGATGAAATCGTTTGTCGGTAAGGTATAGGATAGAAAGTGGATACGGGTATGTAATTTAGTGATCCGATGGCGGTAGGACGTTGGCATGGTCGGGTTTCTCGACCTAGTGTTGGATATTAAAGAAATTGGTGTTGTTTATACTCGACTTCTCGTTAGGCACTGCTCTCTCCTTGCCTTTTGCCACGGTCTTGCTGGTCCTGGAACGTTTCTTTGCCGGAGCATCGTTCGCATCAGAGATTTTCTCTACCAGTACTGAAAGATTCGAAGCCTTGCGAGCGCGATTCGAGGTGTGGTTGGATTGGGGTTCTGCACTGCTTTGGCGGACGTTGACGGTTTCTTTCTCTTCGACCAAGGCTGTAGACGACATCAAGCCCACGGTAGGACATCCCTGCTGAGCTGAAGATAGTACCAACTGATCGCCAAACTGTGGGGATTCAAACACGACGGGTTCATTATCTCGGGCCGAACACGTGGGATCTGTCGAACCATCCAGCAACAGCAATCTTTCATCAATGGTACACCGTGTATATTAACTTACCGTTCACCACCTGCTCAGGACTCACCACCGTCTCTGAGGCGAAAACAGCAGTATCATGCAATGCTGAGGACATATCCAGTCCGTTGCAGTTGTTACTCCCACTATTCTGCAGCGGCGCAATGATTTCTGTCGACAGCGCATACAGATCATGAGCCTCGTTGCCAGCCTGGCGCTAATAGCAATGTGAGAGGGACTGTCATTCTGCACACGCTCCGGGTGTCATACATCACGATCATACTGTGCATTGGCCACAATTAACGGCGTCAAGTCGGGTAAGACAGCAGCTGAAGACAGGTCCAATCCGTTGCAGTTGCTATTCTGCGGCGGCGCAAAGGTTTCTGACGAAAACGCATACGGATCATGAGCCTGGCGCTAATAGCAATGTCAGCGCGACTGTAGCTCTATCATGCTACACACAACCATACGTACATCACGATCATACTGTGCATTGGCCAGAACCAAAGGCGTCAGGTCGGGTAAAAGCGTACACGACTGCTGGTCAACGGCTTCTTGATGATGAGACATTTTGCACGAATGCAGTACGGTGAGAGGGGTCGCAACCGACTGTGGTGTGTGGGAAGGAAGAAGGATGAGAGGGTCAAATATTCCCACATGAACATGTTTATGAGTTTTCAACGTCAAACAGGGAAAGGATTCACTAAGCTCAAATGTTGTTGAAATAAGACAAAGGACGCAGTCTCGGCGGGTGGCCATAACATCCGTGAGGAAAGGAAACCACAGGAGCGGTGGACAAGTCGCAGATATAAGTACCTAAGTACTTATGTACTTAGTACATGTAAGTAGAGTACATCCAACTGGGCACCCCCTCACGTGACCCAGCCTGCGAGCTAGCTCCGTTTGTGAGTCGCCAGACTAGGCACAGAACTGTCTCGGGCGGCTTTGCACAGAAGACTATGAGCCATCTCACAACGGCAATTCTCAACCTCACCTCCAATCCGACTACATACAAAAACAACCCCACATCAACAAAGAATCATCGCATCACGCTTTTGACGACAAGACTTGCTACAGTAGGTATTAATCCATGCAAGTCGAACAACACTACGTGCTATGGCTACCCGCACTTAAAAGCTAACCTAAAGTAACAAATCTAGGACTTACAATGCAGTTTACCCACGCCTTCAATTCCGCTCCCGCTCTCGATTCCTTCTTTAATACGCGAGCACATCGTCGCCTCTATTACCGTACTCAACGAACACCCGCTCCGGAACTTTACAAAGCACAAGGGTCCCTAGATCACAACACACTTTGTCTCATTTGAGGACGACATTCCCGGCTCTCCGCGAAGATTCGACTCGTTTATGGTATCCCAACGCTCGGAGTTACGTACGGCGATAGCTGTTGTATGGTGGAGAGATCTGCAATGCGGCTAATGCCACATAGGGACAGACGAGACGAGGCTCGAGAAAGGCCCGAGACATCTCGTTTCTTTTACAAACAGATCTCGTCCCCTGGCCAACGCTAATCGATTGGAACTTGGCAGGTACGTATACCGTCTGTTCCTCGCGAACAACTCGAAATTTGACACTAGCTAACCAGTATGCCATATAGATTGCCTCAATTTCTATAGATGGTATGGTCGAGGTATGCGGGCTAGACTTCAGCTGCCTGCTGGGGACTGTCCAGAATTTCGTCCACTTCTTAGAACACCCACGTCCCGACCTCAGAATTCAACTATGATCCAGATGGCGGTGAAGGTGTTGATGTTTATGTTGTTTACACTGGCGTCAACAAAAATATCACAGTTAGTATAGCAATGCCTCTATGAAAGTTTCTAGCTCAGTTCTGGTAGGAGTTCAAAGGACGGTGAAAGATACCACCGCACTCATGGCAGTGCCCTTTCCGAAGACAGCCTAGCCAGATTGAATTATCTCCAGGACCTGTCGGCAATACATCGCTAACTCTAGGAATTTCCGACGGAAGATAATTGTGGTATAACTCACTACTGTCGACAAGTGTTTCCCGTGCTGACTCAAAAAAGAAGGTCACGGTACCCATATTGCTGCACTTATTGCCGGAGGTATTCATGGAATCGCCCGGAAAGCAAGCATAATTCTAGTCAAGATTCTGGATAACGACCGAGAGCCCATGGGCGCTCGACATACGCTCATCTGCGTAAGGTCACTTCGATATAGAATGCGGTCTCCGTCAACTAATAGATATCGAACAGGGCCTCATTGCCGTGCTCAAAGATATCAAATAAGAAAACTTAAGGAGACCATTGGTAAACTCTTTCTTGATGGATGCATCTCTACCATTGGCTGACGATAGATTCAGTTGCAAATATCTCCCTGACGGCAAACTGAAGTTGTCCCTTTACTTGATGAGGCTGTCAATCGAATTATCAAGTTGGGGTGCCCATGGATCCTCGCAAGTTCACACTGCTCCTACGGGGTTTTCCGTCTTGGCGCTTTGGTATAACTAGTTTTCTTGGCTTTTTCTTTGCTTCTTCTTAGACTTCACCTAGAACATACCTCTTACGATAGGTTTCTGTATCGAGCTTCCTTCTTCTTTCTTCGAGTCCCTATCCATCTCTCAGCGAAGTTTCTTCTTTCATCCTGTTTCAGGGTTTTTCAGCGCCAGTTTGAAAACGAAAAGCGAGCTCGAGTGAGGAAGCATGATGATCACATGGAAATTCCATTTCTCCCAATCTTCAGTCTCATTTTTGTCACATTAATGTACAAAAGGAACAAGCCCTTTTGAAAACTTTTAAGAAGCCTGCACGCAACAGGGCTTCAAACCTTTATTTTTCTCGTTTCCGACACCACCTTCCAGTCTATATCCATCATAAGGCCTATATGTGGACTATCTAACCCGAGACCGAAAAAAACGATGCCTTCTCAATGCCAAAAACATTTGAACCCGAAGAAGTAAAAAAAAAAAAAAAAAGGGAGGGCAAAATGACAGCTTGAACAAGCACCCAGAAAGAAGAAACCCGAAGATACACCCCAACAAGTAAGGTACGCCAGCAACAGCAACCCATCAATTAACAATCGCAGACACCACCAATGCAAGGCTAACCAGCGCTGGAAGGGGACTGAGCAATCATATGGAAACGGACCCAGCGAAGGTGAAAGGATGCTTTAGTGGCGACCACCGTGGCGGAGACGGTCGTTGTAGTTGTCGTTCAGGTTGAGGTTGTCAGTCTCGTTCTCCTGGTAATCAGTGAACTCTGCGTGATCCTCGTTCATTACCTCAGCGAGAGCAGCAGACTCCTGCTCAGCGGAGTTCTCGTTGGCGTTGAAGTTGGCGACTTCGACTCCGAGCTCGTTCTTGTTGGCGTTGGCAACCTCAATGTTATTCTCGTTGGCGAGCAGGTTGCGGTTGTCGCTCTCAAGCGCTCCGAATCCGAATGCCTCTCCTCCCTTGGCCAAGTTTGCGTTCTCGTTGGCGTTCTCGGACTTAGCTCCTGCCAAGTTGTCGGTAGCCATCGCGTTCTCGTTCGCGTTCTGGTTCTCGGAGGAGGCATCGGTCTCCTCGTACTCCGCGGACTGACGGTCGTAGGCGTGGTAGAAAGCGGGCTTGCTCAAGCTAGGGTGGTAGTTGTTGTAGGGGTGGTAGTTGTTGTAACCCTTGTAAGGAGAGTAGTAAGTGGAGTCATCGCCAGTCTCGATCTGCTCATCGGGCTGGAAGTTCTTGTAGATGCTAGGGTAGTACTGGCCGTAGCTGGGGAAGCCACACCTAAGAGCAAGGTAAGCAGTTTTCAAGGTGAAAATGATTGGAGATGGAAATGGAGGGGACTCACCGAGGTGCCGGTGCCGCGGAGGCAGTGGCCAGGACGGAAGCAAGAAGAACGGCAATCTGGAAGGTCTGCATCTTGAATGATATGTTTGAAAATGAAAGGCTGAGAAAAGAGTGTGGTTGTTGATACTGAACTGAGAGCTGATGTTTCAACTAGAGTCCCCGGGATCCCCACGACTTATATAGGATATTCCGGGGGTGTGGAGATCATCTTCCTTGAGGTAACATTCACTCCTAATGGCCAATTGCTTTGGCTTCGACAAACTGATAGAGGATTTCGGACTGAATCTCGTCTTCCATCGAGTGGTTTCCAAGTTCTAGATTGT